TTGGCTTCGTATTGTCACCCCTTGGTGGTGAAGGAAATATTACCGCCAATGGTCAACCTCACCATCATTCAGGGGCCGACGCGGGCTATCCCGTGTTGGCTGAATGGGAGTTCGGTGCATAGTGGGATCAAAGAACCATGCACTTCTCCCAATCAACCATTTTTTTTTATAATAAAAGAAAACAAAACACTTAGACCACCAAAACTACTTTGTCGATTGCGCTCGCTGAGGAAATGGCTGCTCAGAATGAACATCTCACTCTCACATCGCGAACAAACACTGCCAGTGTGCTCAACTGCCAACCGCAACGTCGCACTCGGGAAATATCCACGTGTCTTCCTCCACACTACCACCCATCATCCTTCGAGCCGTGCAACTCCCGCTCCTCCCACCCGCTTCACAAGCCCAAGCCCTCGACCTCCTCACGCCAACCGCCGCCACGCCCGCTTGATCTAGAAGCCAATGCACCACCGATCCCTTCTAGACCATATTTCAATCCCAAGCGAATTTCAACCCCTGCATAGCAGTCCTCCAAATTCCCCAACTCTCCATCTCTCCGCAAATCACCGCCCGCCGGCTTATATCCCCCCTCCCCCCCCATACTTGTCGCCACTCCCAAATTTAGGCTCGCCCCGGCTGGCAAATCCACGTCCCTGCACGAGCTCAATCAACGCAACCGGTATCCTCAGCCGAAATGCTTGGCTCGCGCTATATCACGCCCAACTAAGATTGAGCTACGCATATCCCCTTATCGCCATGTCGCCCACCATCCGGCGGACGAAGCTCCGGGAGCGATTGGCGTTACTATCCCGGTTATTTGCTCTCAAGTGAAATATTCTTCCACTTCCCCTTATGGGTTGTCACCGAGGCCGAGCCCGGGGTCGGGAGTGTAGATCGGGTGGGTGGAGGGGTTGCGAGATGGCATATATCTGTTGTGGAATCCAGATGCGATTCGAACAAACTCCATGAGCTTTCTCCTCTTGGCGCTTCTCCTCCAATTCATCACCCACGATATGTTTCTCTAACTCAGCAGCCCATCACAACGCGTCACCACCAATGCGTCCCCTCACCCTCCTCTCCCTCTCCTCCTTCCTCCCCTCCATCCTCTCCGCCCCCCTCACTTCTCCACCCTCCCCCTTCCCCCTCCACCACACAATCCTCTCCCCTCCTCAATCCCTAACCCCCTTCCCCCCCATCTGGGCCTCCCCCTCCGAAAACCCCTGGGCCTCCTTCGGCTACCTCCCCCCACCCTCCCTCGACACCTGGTACGCCCCCCCTCCCGGCTGGGAATCCACCGCTCCCGGTACCCCTCTCAAAATCCGCCCCAATGCCTATCCCACAATCAACGTCCGCAACTGCAGCGGGACCTTCCAGGTTCTCTACCGCTCCAGCGACACCCACGGAAACGCCAGCTGGGCGGTGACGACGGTGTTCATGCCCACCTCGCATGCGAAATGCGATAGGAAGGATCCCGTCGGTACGGGATGCAGCCACGCAGTGGTTTCTTACCAAGTGCCTAGTGACAGTGTCTGGGTGGATGCGGCGCCTAGTTATTTGTTACAGGCGAGGGAGCCATACGGGGAGATGAGGGATTTGCTGAAGAGGGGGTGGTGGGTTGCGGTTCCGGATTATGAAGGACCGCAGGCGGCATATTGCGCGGGAAAGCAAGCGGGATATGCGACGCTGGATGGGCTCAAGGCGGTGTTGGCAATAGGGGGGGAGTTTGGGTTGGATACGGAGAGGGCGAGGTTAGGGATGTGGGGGTATAGCGGGGGGGCGTTCGCGACAGGGTTTGCGTTGGAGGTGGCGGGGAGGTATGCGCCGGATTTGAAGATTGCGGGGGGCGTGGTGGGTGGGCCGTCGCCGAACTTGACGACGGTGGCGGAGTTGATGAATGGGAAGGATACGGCGGGATTGGTGGTGGCGAGCATTGTGGGGGTGACGATGCAGTATCCGAAGGCCAAGGAGTTTATGATGTCGAAGTTGAAGAAGGAGGGGGTATATAACGAGACGGGGTTCATGGCGGTCATGAACATGACGGGGGCGGGGGCGCTGGTGGCGTATGGGCATCAGAATGTCTATGATTACTTTGAGAACGGGGCGGCGGATTTGTGGCATCCGATTATCCAGGAGGTGATTGATGCTGATGCCGTCATGGGGCTGCACGGGGCGCCGCCGAAGGATATCCCGGTGTTTGTGTACAAGGCGGCGAGGGACGAGATGAGCTTTGTTGATGAGACTGATGAGCTGGTGGGGAGGTACTGCAAGGGAGGAGCGACCGTCTTGTATCATCGGAACTTGTTGGGCGGGCACAACGACGAATTGTGGAGCGGGAGGTTGAGGACGATGGACTTTCTTGCGCACGTCCTTGAAGTGGACGACTCGAAGAAGATCATGGTTGGCGAAGCCCCGGTGACAGTGCCGAGCTCAGGCTGTGTGGTGGAGGATGTGAGCGTGCCGCTTGATGTGATTGATTTACTGCCGGACTGGTGGCTCACAGGAATACCCTGAACGAGAAGAAAATGGGGACGAGGAATGCGGTATATAACAAAACAGACGGTATATATGACAAATCCAAGAATTCAGACCGGCTCCTCCGCTGACTGGTATCCAAGATCTCCATTTTCTTCCTCCTCAGGTGCAAGCTTTGCGGGAGGCCTCTGGAGAAACATCAACGCGGTCAGAGCGAGCGAAACCAGACCTGCAACATAGAACCATGGCAGCCCCCTCCAAAAGCCTTTCTTTGCCAGCCCAATGTTGAAACACTGAGCCAGAACTGGACCACCGATAATGGCACCGCTGGTCTCCATCAAACTCATCAAGGCGTAGAGCCGAGATGTCTGGTTCAACTCCACGTACGAAGTTGCTATCGCTCGAAGCAGAGGCCCGTTGGCAGACCCAAAGGTTCCTATCGTGAGCCCCGCGAGGAAGAGCACGATCTCCTGGCTGAAACCCTCCATGACCGCAGCGATGACCATCAGGAGCAGCGATACTCTGGTGATCAAGAGATCCTTCCTAAAAATGGAGAGTCGAAATCGTCCTGTGGTAGACGTGAGGACCCCCGAGACCCACGGGACAAGTAGAATGACGACGAGGTGGAGAATGCCAAGTGGGGGTGATAGAAGATAGCTGGTTTCCGCCAGGGTCCAACCAAAGTACTTGCTCACGTACTGGCCGAGGGTGGACGAGTACGCTGCAAACACAGCCGGCTGGATGAAGAAGTTGACCATGCAGAGCAGGATATTGTTGTTCTTGATGAGTGCAATAGAAACGAGCAGTTCGTCCATGGCTTCGCGGAACGGCTTCTTCGATGTTGGCGGTGTGGGGTCGGTGCCTTCTGTTGCCGGAGCTTTGCGCTGCATGGTGAGGGTCTCGGGGAGGAAGAGCAGCAGGATGAATACGAACGGCGTGATGAAGAAGACCAAGATGATGGGCGCCCAGGGGCTGACCTTTTCCATTAGGATGCCGGCTGTCACAGGGCCGACGAGGGTGCCAAAGACAGCGCCGAAGGAAAGGTAGAGGAAGCTGGTAGACCTGTTCGCTGGTCAGTGGACTTCGACAGTTTCACAACCTCCTCGGCTATCACGCACTTCTCAGCCTCCGAGCTCACATCAGCGGCCATGGCGGTGAGCGAGTTCATGGCAACAGGAATTCCGCCGCCGATGAGAAAGAACAGAGACCCAATCATCACCAGATAGAGATTCGTTGTCTGGACGATACCCAACATGAGAGGCGACCATCCGAACGCTAGGAGAATGCCGATGTAGGCGAGGATAAACGTGGGCTTGCGCCCGATCCTGGACATCATCAGCAATGTTCCATAACCCACAGAGTTGAGAACCCCCACCTGTCTGCCAGCACACCATAAGGAAGCGTGGCAATCAACCCAATAACAGTGTTGAGCATAGCAGCCCAACCGCCAAGATACGCCAAGAGCCCCTGAACTTCATCGACCTTGCAAAGCCTCTCATCGATCTTCTCAGAGTGGTCCTTCTTGTAGTAGGAATGGCAGACAGCATCCTCAACCAGGCGAAAGATGGGTACAACGATGAGCATGCCACTCGTCGTGACGGTAAACAAAAGAATGGCGAGCAACAAGACGATTGTCTTCGGCTTGCGCGCCTGGAAGCGCGAGACAAAGCCATGGCGGGGTAATTTTGCGCCGAAAGCAGGGCTCTCCCCACCGCCCTCTGGCTCGCGCTCGTCCTCGGGAAGCAGCGGCTCGCCTTCGAGGCGGTCGTCGTATTCGTCGATGTTCATCGGGGCGAAAAGAGTGAGGGAGTGATGAGAAAAGAATTGGGCGAAGCGCGGTCTCTGATGGGCAGTGCCATAGCGAAGAGCGCAGTCTTTTCAGTGTGTCAAGTGTAGATCGTCCTTGCCCGCAAAGGAAGGAATGGACGCGTCGGGAACCGGGATTACGCAATACGAAACACGAAGCCAAGCCTCAATTACGCGGCAGTGCAATGACGCTAACAGCTGCACCGGCAGCATATGCGTGCATCCTGTTAGGGAAAAACCGCCAGGCCAGCCAGCTCCAATTGGTCAACGTCGAGAGAACTCGCAATCCAAAAATCCATATCGCGCTGCTTGCCGAATGGCCTTTGGATTGGCCATAATAACTCTGATGAGCCCCTTTGAGACTCTGTTGCTGCCGCGTCGCCAGGCACTTCAAACCCCTCATGGGTGCTCCTCTGCTCTGCGCTCTTCCTTGTGTTCCACCATCGCAAATACATTTGTACCTCTGCATTCAACAATCAGGCATTTGATGCGACCTAAGAAGGATGCCCACTCATCCACGCGCAAATGTTGGGCGTGGGTGCAGGATTCAAGGCAACGCATGAGTATTTGTCCCCATTTGAGGGACGCCTCACCACCACACACCGCGCCCTAACTACCCTCACGCAACATCAGCTCTAAGCCCAGGCTTCATCAATGGGCCATCGAGAAGACCAGCAAAAATAAATGGAGGATGCTTCGGAGGGAGGCGAAAATGAAGTGTGCGACGAGAGTGGGATTCGAGCCCACGCCCTTTCGGACTACGCAATCGTGGACCAGAAGATCTCAAGAGTGTTATCAAGGAACGCCCTAACGTGACGCTTTAGACCGCTCGGCCATCTCGCCTTTTGCGGTGTTTGTGCGCCTATTGTTTTGGTTGAGAGGGTGGTGGCAGTTTGGGTTAGTTGCCGCTGTGCAGGGAGAGGACTGTGTTGACTCTGGGGTCGTCCGGGTGGGTCCCAACTCACACTCTCATCCGCCCCTCAAATTCACGATGAAGACTGTGCTGCGCATCAAGCTAATTGCCTCCATTGCAAAGCTATTGTACAGTCCATACCATACGTCCAAGCATGCAGCACCAAGTAAATGCCGTGTCCAAAAATACAAACACCCATAAACTCCCCGAATGCATCGCGCCCAAGCCCAGCCTTGACTCATACCGTATGCTGTTCCCGTCCATGCCCATGCCGACATATGTACATATCCTACAACATTCATGCCTGCCTGCCTGCCCGCGGTAGGTTTGGGTATAGAAAATAGCATTACTTCGTGTTCGTGTTGCCGTCCTTCAAGGTTGCTAGACCTTGCTGTTCCTCGGGCTGTTGTTCACGGTGATCTTGAAGCTGGAGGGAATTGAGGGAGTCGTGGGTCCGCTCTTTTGGTGGAAGAGAGCGCGGAGGATCGGGATGGACGCGGCCATGATGGTGATGGCACCCTCGGCGGTGCCGACGATGTAGAGGCTGACCATGGTGACTGCTCTTGTCAGTGCCGCACGACTTCATCTCCCTCTGTGGGTGGGGTACTCACTCATATCCGCATTCCCAATAGCCACCAGAGTCGGAATCTTGGAAAAGCTCGCGGCTCCAGCAAACACTCCCATGCTCATGGCAAACAGCGCACCCAACTTCTCGCTCCTCCGGATCTTCGCATTCCAAATAATCTTCCACGGCAGCAGAGCGAGAAAAATGTCCGCCGACCCAGAGTAGATTGCGACGATGGTGTTGATGATGCGCACCCTCTTGAACCCCAACCAGCACACGCCCGGCCCGCCCAGCCACAACTTCGGCGTCGGCCAGCACTGAATCCACTGAAGGAGTGCATTCCCGCCCATGACGATGTTGATCGAGATGAGGACGAACCAGACGACTTTTCGGGTGCGTCCCTCGGAGAAGCCGAGGAGGGTGATGGCGAAGGAGGACTTGCTCCAGACGGCAGCGAGGATGGAGAAGAAGCCAGCAAAGTACGAATACTTGAGGAGGGGGGAGAGGTTGGAGGGTTTGATGTCGTCACCGTGTTTTCCGAGATCGAAATAGGTGCACACGGTGAGAAAGCTGCAGGAGAGAACGAGTGCCAGCTGTGGATGTTAGTGTTTGAATCATTCATAGGGAGGTGAAGGGAGCATACCCATCCGGCGATGAGGACATAGTCATCCCACCACAGCGGCCGTCTCCTCCATATTTTTGCATAGATGCGAAGGGTGAGAAATAGTGAGGCGATGCCGGTGAGAAACCAAACGGTCAAGTTGAGCGGCAGACCAAAGTCTTCAAACTGTGTCTCCGACGAGCCGGTCGCCGTGGAAGGCGCTATCGTGTCGTTGCCGCTTGCGGTCACGGTCGCATCGCCGGCGACTGTAGTGTTGAAATTGGGATCCATCGTCGTCGTCGCCGTCGTCGTCACCAGAGGCGCTTCGCCTCAACCGCCAGGGGAGAGCACCGATTTCATCAAAGTCCGGGATGAAGAAAAGAGTGGACGAAGGGGTGGTCCTTGCCTGCCAAGCTTACTTGGAAAAAGGCGAACCGGCACTGGTTTTAAGAGAGCGAGTTACCCTGGCCATGCCCCGGGTTTTGGGTTGGGGGAGGTTCAACGGTTGTGTGTCTTGGCATGAATCGCCCCCTCGCTCGGGCCGCCCCTGTTCAACGGTGTCGATTGACCCCGTCTGAGCGTCCACGTTTCGCATCGTGCTGTTCCGCGTCGCACCACGCGACAAAAACCTGGTACGATCGCTCATGCGGCTTCATTTGACGAATTGCAACTGGTCGCCAATGGCTTCCCGCTCCAAAAACCCAGCCGAATGCACCCGCATTGGGTCATCGATCTGCCTTTTTTGCCTCACTGACAGCTTGGCCGATGCTCACGGAGCCGGAACCACCGCATCTCGGCAGGGAAACTCGCTACGTGCGCTGTTCTGCCTCCAGATACCAGGAAAATGAAGCGGCCAAGTCGGCTCACGGGCGCAAACATAAAATAAAATTTAAAAAAAAAAAAAAAAGACTGCTCTCTCTCTCGAAACATGTCGTCAAAGTCCTTTCGATCTCACTCAACCCCGCTGTAAGTGCCGCAGCGGGGCGAGAGCAAAACTGAATAAAATGTTTACTGGTATACGCTATTGCCAGCCCCTGGTCCCTCCTGTCTCGTCTTGGCGTTGTGTTCGTCCCACCTCCCGAACGATCTTTGGTAGCGACATGGCCCTTGACAGTCCATGTTGGAGGGATTGATGGTCGACTGCCGTGTTTGGCTATCGCCGTCTTCCAGCACCTTCACCGGGCGATCTGAATTCCATGCAATTCCTGTGCGTGTGTCCAAGACAGGAAATGATGGTCCACATGTGTTGCCCTCACCGTTTTCCAAAACTCCACGTGTAAGGACCACGTGGAGGTCATGTGATATGACACTGCTTGACACAGCCAAATCTCCCTGGAACGTGCGTTGATCGAGGGATCCTCGGGAGCACCACCCTGACGAATCCTTTTGTCATAATCACCCTACCCCAGATCAAAACTCATCGGACATTTTCACCGCGGCAGAGGTGGATCCGAATGCCTAACCGAGGCCGGCACCAAGAGGAAAGCAACGTGATTGTGACTGAAATCGTCTGCCGACAGGTGATATGTCTCCACCCCCGCGATTAGGAGCGCAGGACATTCGGGGATTTTCTGCTACTTTCATGGTCGTAGAAAGTAGTAGCTCATTTAAAGCGGTCCAGTTCAACTATGGTAGGGTAGGTAACATTTTGCTTCAACTAAACGTGACTGGGGATTTCTGACGTCGACCAGCAATGCCCTTTCCAGACTTTGACATGACTTGGTTGACAGCACAAAACGTAAGGTGTTTTCAGATGAAATGGGGCAGCCAAAAACACGCCACAAGCAACGCAGGTATCCCAACACAGTCGGGTCCCCACAGCAGGATGTATCAGCATCGGCCTCATTTTTTTTTTTTTTTACATTCCCCATCCGGACCTCACAACAACCCAAAACTCCAAGAGCTCTCCCACGAATACACCTCCCCCGGCCCCGTAATCTGCGCATCCACCCTTCCCCATTCCGGTCTGCCAACTGTCAGCGTCATTCCATCCTCTTCCCCGTTTCCACCCGGGAACTCTGCTTGGAAACTCACCGATTAATCCCATCAACATAATCCTGCGGCTCAATCGCAATACACGAACTCCTCTCCACCTTTTTCCTGTTCCCCGTTCCCTGCGTCGTCTTCAGATTCGCCGATCCATCTGACCACGCACAGGTATAGAGAACAACCCCGACTTGATCCGTCCGCATCTCTGCCTTGATCCCACTCCAAGCACTTCCCAACCTCAGGACTACATCTCCCTTCTTCGCTCCCTCTATGAGCCAAAAGCCATTGTAGCCTTCACAGCTTCCCCCGCAGTTTCCTCGGAATCCACTTGCACTCCGCGAGTGACCTAGTGCGGGGTTTGGTTTGGAATGGAAATCATTGATGCTACCCGGTGCTGCTTCGAGGATTCTTCCGGTCGGTAAAGCAGAGGAGTCGATGGCGAGGTAGCGCTTGGAGAATGGGAGGGAGAGGGTGTGGTCCCATATTAGGGGTGTCGAGGGGTTGCGGTAGGCGTCGAGGTTGAAGTAGGTGTGTTGGGTTAGCATCAGGGCTGGGTGTGTTAGATAGGGAGGGGGGGCAAGGCGGAAGGGAAAGAAGGAGAAAAGAGGGGGGAAAGAGAGAGGAAAGAGGGGTGATGGGGAAAGGGAAAAGGGGAACCCACGCGTTTTAGCGGTGGCGGTGGCAAACATCTTGATGTCCCATGTGCTGTTGAAGACGGAGTAAGTCACATTCGCCGTAACCTGGCCGGGCATTCCAGTGGACTCGTTTTCCTTGTCGATGATGGAGAACGTGATCGAGGTGTCGGATACCGCGGCGATGGTCCACGTGCGATAGGACCAGTTGTTGGTCCCGCTGTGTAATGTGTTCTGCCCGTCATTCTTTTGAGTGCGGAAGGTCTTACCGTCGATGGTGAACTGGCCTTTGCTGATTCGGTTGGCATAGCGGCCCGGGATAGCGTTGTACGTTGGATGGCTGGGGTCCTTTGCTGGGAGGTGTTAGCAAACCACAGCTAGGTGTTAATTAGATGAGGAGCTGGGGTTTTGGTCGTACGGTAGTATGCCGCGTCATCATGTCCGAGGACGACATCAACTTCATTGCCACTTTTGTCTTTGACGAAGAGATTCGTCAGTGTCGCGCCGTAGGGGATGAACTGATCGAGCGTCAGAATTTTGTGCGAAATTCTCGGGGGGAGTGGTGTGCCTGTGCTCTGATCCCTGGCGCGGAAATCGTGTACCTCCCATCAGCCCCTGGCTTGGGTATCTCTTGCGCGGCAACGACTGCCAGTCTAGCAAGGAGAGAAGACAACATCCAGAGCCAGCTTCTGATCACCATCTTCGTTGTTCAAATGGGAACTGCTGATGCAGGTGCCTTTCAATGTTTCTGTGTCCAAATCAATGTAGCTGGTGCGAGGGGCTGTGGCGCCCAAATACCTCTGGCCATGTACTAGTAGTGCCAAATATCCATAAATGCTTACCATGTATTACCGAAAGCCAAGTACACACGCTGGGTAGCGGTCCAATAATGGTATGTTGTTATAGTACCTTGAGGGGTAGCTTCCACACTGTGAATGGCCCGGCTATTTGGAGCTGGTACTGACTCTGGGCGACTTACCCCATCGCACATAGAGAACATGCGTTGCACGCGGGGATTGAAGGCGTATTAACCTATGCTCGTAAAGGCTGTTTGGGGTATCATTATCCCTTTGCAGGTCATGCCCTAGGCGCCTTGAGCTTCTAATATCTAACCACAGTTTTTAGCGGCTCAGTTGACACTTG